GACCTGGGTTCAATGGAGTCCTCGAAGTTTTCAGTCGACAATAATAACCACACTTACATACATCAACTTCTTCGATATTCACTGAACTTTGCGACATTTGATAAACGAAAATGGCTTTATTTAGAAGAGAGAAACGTTGGATATTTAGAGAAAGAAGAGAGAATTGGGGATTTAGGGTTCTAAAATGGATTTGGGGGAAGAAGAATTGAGGATTGTATATCCAAGTTAAAATTTTAACGTTGGATGTCTTAAATGCAGGATAAAAAATGGGAGAAAAAACAATTCACGCTCCCCATTTGCGTGAATCACAAACGATTTCCCAACAGATTTATTTATATTAATAAGTAAGTGCATTATTCTTTCTTTTCCGTAATCTCCTTAATATTATGCTTTTAATGGAAACAGAAAAAATCTTAAAATTTTATGTTTATATAATAATATTTCTTTACAATTTTTTACATTGCATAAATATTGCTTTTATATTTATAATGTTAATAAACGGTAACTTTTAAAACTATTTTATATAACTGTTTACTGTTTTTTTTTTTAAAAAAAAAACTGTTTTACATTGTTATTTTCTTTTTAAAAATTAAAAATAATTAAGTTATTTAAATTGAATTTATTATTTAAATTAATTAAAGATAATAAAATTAAAAAAATATTGTAGTGCTAACACGCGTCTTTTTTCTTCTCCTAATAAAAGAAAGGACAATTTTAAATCCTTTTCTCCATCCATTCTCTCTTTCCCATTACAGCACCGCCTCTTTTTAGTTTTCTCCCACCGGAATGGATCAACTGTTTCATAGCTTCCTCCTCTTCACTGTCTCCATCCATCCATAGCAAAAAAATGAATCTAGAGGTATTCCGCTCAATCTAATGGTGTACAATCTCCCTTCGGCTAACACACTCTCCCATCCCTATCTTTAATTTTGTTGTGCTTCTTCAACTTAATTGTTCTCGCCAAATTTGCATTTAATCATTTCTGGGTGAGTTCCATTTTTACTTTATTATTTTCAAATTTTCCGTTTAGCTTCAAACTATTAGGTCATGAAGAATCTGCATTTATAATCTTTTCCTGATTTTCTGGGTTTATCTTTAGGACTGTATAGGTAATGACTAATGACGAGGACTACTGAACAAGCTGCTGCAGTAATTGCGAAGTTGTTGAAGAAGGTGACGGTTCATGGTCACCACGGTTTGGGCGGCCATTGCTGATCATTTCGATGATTCGAAAGTTTTTGGTAAAATTCCTATTTCTCCAATCTAATAAAATATTAGAAGAAGCTCAAAAGTTATTTTTTTTAAAAAAAAAATTTATATGCCAGTTAGTGTTGCATTACAGATGGCGTAGTGAGGGATTCTTGGGGTGGGACAACTTTTGCTCAACTACTATTGAAAATTGTATGCGTTAGATAATTTCCGAAATTGAGTGTTGCCGAAATCGAAACCCTAGATCGGATTAGTCAATTGCCAGACGCACTCCTTGTTCAAATTCTCTCTCTTTTGCCGACAAAGGATGCATTCACAACATGCCTTGTATCTAAAAGGTGGCACTTTCTTTGGACTTTTGTTTATAACTTAATTTTCACTCAGGAATCCTACAGAGTTTTTTATGATGAGAATTGTAGCCTGAAAATTGAAAAGTTTGTATCCTTTGTTAACCATGTATTAAATGGTTTCGTTTCTTCCAAAATAACAAAATTTGAACTCGACGGCACAAAACTTTTTAACTATACCTCTCAAATTAAACGATGGCTTAGTTTTTCTGTTGAAAGGGAAGTGAAACATGTTGTATTCTTGTCCTCCTACACACATGCTTGTGTATTGCCTGAATCTTTTTGCAACTGTTCGTCGTTGATAACATTATATCTGAGACAGGGGCGGCTCAACGTGATTGGGGGCCTAAAGCGAAATTTCAATTCGGGGCCTAAAATATAATCAAACTTCATATACATATTTATTCAAAAATTATTTTTCTTACACTATTTAGATGAAAATTATTAGTATTTTAATATTATTTTTTTAGTTATTAGTTTTAGGTAAGATTTTATCAACTCAACATTGAAAAACATCATTTTAGTGAGACAATTATTATATGAATTGTTAACATAATTATACAAGTAATAAGTTGATAAATATTAAATAGAGATAAGATTTAGAACCATAGAATTTGATGCAAGAAGTTGATGACTTGGTATACCCCATTTTAATATGATTGTAGTAATGCTTGAAACTAAAATTTAAAATGAAATAAAAAAGAATTTGTAATTCACTTTGTTCAACACTTTTCACTATTAATTCTTATTTTTAACAAAGTACAAAAGATGTTAAAGTGGGTAAAATAAAATATTTTTAAAAAATTATACTTTTTATCATAAATAATCAATTTTTTCTATAAAAAATTTAACACATAATTTATTCTTGATAAAACCTTGGAGCTCCCGAAATTTGGTGGCCTAAGGCAAAAGCCTTATTTCCCAAAGCATAGAGCCGGCCCTGATCTGAGACAGTGTTGTTTTAATGATGCGGGTATAGTCTGGAAGTTTCTAAAGAGCCTAAAGCTGGAGAGTGTAATCTTAAAAGATGATGAAATTTTGAACTTACTATCAGGTTGTCCTGCATTGGAAAGAATGGAATTAGATGATGTTGGGGGTTTTCATTGCCTAAAAATTAATTCTTCAAAATTCAAGAGACTTAATTTGAAAAATCACAGGTTACCTCATGATATCAATGATCGTTCCTTTGAGATTTATGCCCCGTATCTGGAGCATTTGGAAATTTCAGGAGATCTTGGGGATCTTCAGTGTAGGCTTGTTGACGTGTCCTCCTTGGTTAATGCTAAGGTTACTTTCTACATTTCATGTATCAAACACATCCGACATGAACGTAAGGAGTTTATTAGTGTTGATGACTACAGCTGTCATGACTATCATCAAAGTTTTAGCGTTCTCGCCCGAGATTATCTTCAAAAGTTGAGTTGTGCAACTGAGCTAACGATCGGATCTTGGTTCACAGAGGTTAATTTTTAACTCCTTAAATATAATTGTTTGTATTTTTTGGATGGTTGGTCTAAACTTGACAATGTAAATGATATAGATTAAATATTAAACCTCATTAGTGCAATGATGTAGATAACACATGGTGCTGTCAAGTTATTGAAATTACCTTACCTTTCTAAAAATATTTCTTGATATCTGACCGTAATTTTTAGCACAGTTGCAGAGTGTAAACATTTTACAATTGAGAACCTTTTGGATGAATTTCACTAAAGCAAGTTGACTAATTACAAAAACGTGTGGACAGTTGTGTCTTTATACAATCCTTTTGTCGCAGTTCAAAATTAGATATTTCTTTTATGCAAAAGAGCTATCTAGAAACGAGTATTTGTTTACATTGATGATGTTGCTTTAGAGTGTTTAGACAGTTAGATTTTGTCACAAGATTATATTTTCTTTTTTGTTTGTTGTTGCTTTCTCCATTCTTTACTAGTTTCACTGAGATTGCTGCACCAGGTCCCATGCATGTTGCAGTTCAATGGATTGCTGGTTCCAGAGTTGAAATGCAAATATCTATCACTAGAACTGTGTATAGAAAACTTTGATTTGAATGGAGTAGCTGGACTTTTGGGAGCTTTGCCTCATGTGGAGACTTTAAACATATACATGACAGAAAATCTCGTAACTTTCTGAAACTTTTTCTTGTCTTTTTATATCTATTCATTTAACTAATGATTTTAACGCCTCCATCCGTCCCCGTTCCCGTCCCCGTCCCTCTCCTTCTTAGCTAGTTGTTTCTAAAGGAGAACGCAAATATATCTTTAATTATCAATGAGAAGCTTTACTTTTGTCATTGTAAAGCTACACTTCGGTATGGATATCTTGTTGCTTTCTTTGTGGCATATGTTCTCTGAAAGAAGATGAATTTTGCACTATAACTCTTTACTTTGGTTACCCTATGCCATTGATAGGAACAATCAGTATTATCATTTTCCAAGTGTCGTTATGATTAGTTGGTTCTGAAACTTTTTAGTACAGGACACTAATACTGTGAAATAATCAATTTCCATAAGGCTGACTTGCATTTGGTTGGTCCTGATTAGTGTCTTTGTTTCCAGCTTGATAATTACTTTTGCGACTTTGAGGAAAACAATACCGATCTGCAGAGTTGGATTTCAAGCATTGTGTTTCCCAACCTCAAGAATATTACGATTGTCAACTCCATCCTGGTGTGTTTAAACAGGCAAAAAAGAAAACGGGGCTTTCGCAGACTTGTTAAACTTTCACAACTTCTGTTAAAGAATGCAACGATTTTGAAGAAGTTTCTTGTCATATCAAAGAGCAGAATGTGCAAGAAATGTAAGAAATGTTTAACAAACTGTTGGTGCAATTTTTTCTCTGGATTGTTTGACAAGTTGTATCCCTCAAGATCCTCCACCAATGCCAAATTTATCTTGCAGGTTCAAGTTTTCCGGGACTAGACTACAAATTGATTAGCTTCAGCAATCATGATTAATTACTCTTCTTTTGAATTTGCCTTTATACCAAATGTTATGATAGTTTTGTTTCTCGTGAAATTGTTGTTCGTTGCATTTTAGATATTGTGCATGTTGAGATTTACTTGCAACTCTTGTTTGTTGGACCTATAAACATGTGTAAATCTGCAAACCATCTTTTTAATGATAATTAGCATATTATGAAACGTTGTTTTTTTTATACCTTGCTTTATTAATAGCATTAAAATCTATATCTAGAGAGTAGGGGTCCCTCTGTGAGCCTTTTTTCTACATTGTTTACCTCAAATAATAAATACTTACTGGTTTCAATTTGTTTGGTCATAGTTTGACTTGGTATGAAGTTTAGGAGCCTATTGATTTCTATAAACAACTTATGCAACTTAGAAACTAAACGGAAATATGCAAAATGACTATTAGAAAAAAAAGAGAACCAGAAATTTTTCATCTCAAAGCAGAGGGATCTTTTTTATAAGCAGATGAGTTGCCAAAAGAGTTTTTTTCCTACCCCTTCCCCTTGCATCAGCCATCAACCAAACACATGTTTAAAATTTCATCAAAATTTGATTTTGCCAAATATATTTAAGAATTTATGGTCCAACACTAACTAAATAGATGAAATACAGAAGTTGTGGAGAGGTCATAATTTGGGCAATTATCAATGCCATGTTCTACCACTGAGCTATTATCATTCAAGGGCATGTTCTACCACCGAGCTAGTAGCCCGTCGTTAGAGGTCTCCTATGCATAGCGACAAAAAATTCTCATCCATCTTTCCGTTTCTTATCCCTATGTGGGGAACATGGAGACATAAATAGGGCGTACTATCAACTTGCTCCAACTTGGGATATGTTACACAAGAAAAAAAAACTATGAATTTAGACTTTTTTTTTAGTATCATGTGATGACGGACTATATATAAAACATTTTTAAAATGATATAATATAATCCATCAGGGGTGATGCTTCTAATAAGATTCCATACTTAGAATTTGAAATCGAAACCTCTAGTTAAGCGTAGATCAATCCTACCACGGCACCATAACCATGTTGGTGATTCTTCAATTTTTCTTGAATATTCCACTTTGGACATATAGGGAACTTGGGCCAAAGTCTTTTGGTTTAGGCTTACTTTTAGTTTGGGCCTTAAAGGCCTACAATCAGTTCAAGATCATTGATAAGAACTCCAGTGTTTTATTTTTGTTTTACTTTTAATAATCATGGTATTCATATCACTTTGCATTCACCTTAGACAAATTTCACACGATATCTACTATATGCACCAATACAAATACTGAGTAACTCTAGATATATATTCCAATGTTTCATCTTTCACACGGTTTTCAATTATTATTTTGTTGTTCGACTAATCCAACTTTACGTAAGAAAGTTTCACTTTAAAGATAAATCATTTCCTACCAAATGAGACTTTGTTTCAAAGAATTCAAACCCAAAATACATACATGAATGTTTGCTTTGATTTTTATTTTGTGTCAACACTCTTATACCCATTGGGATTAGATTGGTGCATGGGAAAAGTAAGTAGGTATTGGAAATGAATTTCTGCTTTCTACTTTTTGAGTTCTCTGAAAAATAGTACACTATCTTTTCCACCTGACCCATAATTAAACTAGAAGTTTTTAGCCCATTAAATCTTCTAAAAAGAAGATTTTGGGCTCTTTACTTTATTCTCCTAGATACTCCTAAGTTTCTAGTAATATGGAAATAATATTATATAAACATGTTAGTTTGGCTAAATTATGTATATCTGTTTATAATATATAATTTTGTAGAATTTTTATGTACTTCTTAATTTCAAGTTCGTTTAACAATTCAAACTGAAATTTTAATGGAAATGAGAAAGTATCAAAGGAGAAAACACACAGAAGGAAGCAAAACTAAGTATAAGATATGAATAAAATTATATAAAATTCAAGTTTCTGTGGGAGATCTCTTCATTATTCTAACAACAAAAATTGAGTCATATCTTAAAAGGTCACTGAACTATGAAAAAATATCTAATAAAGTCATCAAACTTTATTTTGTATCAATAAAACCACTCAACTTAAAGTTTTTATCTTCAAAAATACTAACTTAAACAACAAAAATTGCCCATATGGAATGTAGAATTGAAAAGTAAACAGCAGAAAGTTGTGGTTGGATGAATACAATTCTTTTATACGATGTGAATTCGAATTTGTTAAATTCCAATATCAATATCAGAAGACACCGAGTAAAAAATAAAAAATAAAAAAAAGATATACAACACACATGAAAGGGTTGTAGTACTAAATGCTCTAAGAGAATTCCAATTTCAAGAATCTTTATATTTATGGGAAAATGCTCAAATATGCCTATCAAACTTTGAAAAAATGGTCATCTATGTCATTTATTTAAAGTTTGACTTATCTATGTCATTTTGTTTGAGAAAAAGACTCATCCATGCCACTATTTGTTAACTAAAAGAAGTTTCGATTTTGCAAAACCATTTTTTACATGTGGTCAATTATGATTCGATCATGTCATTAATTAAATTATCTTTTAAAAAGGGAAAGGCTCATATATGCCATCGAAATTTGAGAAAATGCTCATCTATGTCATCCGATTAAAGTTTGACTCATCTATGTCATTTCAGTTAACAAATGATGACATGGATGAACATTTTCTCAAACAGAAATAGCATAGATGAGCCAAACTGATGACATAAATGAGCCTTTTTCTCAAAGTTCGACGGCTATTTGAATCTTTTTCCTTTTTCTTTTTAATACATAATTTAAGCATTGACTTGAGAATGAAGGACATTAAAAACTAATGAGATGTACTTTCCCTGGTAATTAATAAGTGACTTGAAAAGTACAAATTCCCCAAAAAAATCTGTTTTCTTCTAGTATGTAATATGGAAGAAATAGAAATTTAATTTCTTGTTTTGGACTATTGTTTTCAAGTTTTCTACCAACCCTTTACCCTTTGTGTTGAGATCATAAATTTGTAAAAATCCAAAACAGAAGTTTCTTGGAACTTGTTCCAAGACCCATAGACCCTTTGGTTGAATACTTCAAGTCATAGTAGAGTATATTACCTAATAGAAACATCACTATCAAAAATACCCACTAAAATGTGATGGTTAGATCAAACTCCCTCTGTTTTTAATTAAAAAGTTTCAAATTTAAACTCTATAAAAAAAAAATTAAAAAAAACTCATGATAGAAAGTTTTTTATGTCCCCTTGAATAACTTTTACACATTTGTAAATCTAAATTAATCACCCAACTGAATGCCAAATATCAAATAATTATATTAAATATGTAAAAAGAATAATGAACCTCTCTTAAACCTTACTAATTAAGAAAGAACATCAAATTAAACCTTTGTAGGTTGATGATTTTGAATGGAACAAAGTGATTGGCCAAAATAATCCAACAAATTAGGAATAAGTATACATCATTTGTTGTCCACTAATTACAAGGCATTGACGAGTCATTTGTAAGGACAAAGACAAACATGCTCTCTGTCATGCAAATTCTTTAAAAAAAATAAAATTAATTAATTAATCATACCAATAAAAAGTATCAAAGTGGTCATGCAAATTATTCTAAATAAAACAAATTAATTAATCCAATAGATAAAGTAATAGATAAATAAAAGCAAAATTTACTTTCTTAAGGTATGTGTTAAGCAAAATTCTCTTGTTTTAAGTAAAATTTGGGCAAAAGCAAAAGAATAATATTGACAAATTACACTTTTAATTAATGTCATTAACTTATTTTCTTAAGGTATGTGTTACGCCTCAATAATTTATTAAAAAATCCATTGGTGTGAATTATTAGTTTCATTGTCGAATTATTGACAAGCTTAAAAACACTGATCATTTACTTGACTAACTAAACTTAAATACACCCCTGATCATGCAACACGATTGAAATACTCCCCTAAATTCTCAATAAGTTTAGAACTGGTTTCAAGACTTCTCTCGACTTTTTATTAAGAGTCTCACGCTCCTACAAGAATTTGAGATCACTTGTTATGTCATGAGGCAGATCGGGGTGTACCTAAGTTTAGTTAGTTAAATAGAGCGTGTTTTTAAAGTTGTTAGTACTTCAGGATGAAACTAGTAATTTGCATCAAGTTTAAAAGTGTTTTCAATATTTTTCTCACCGTTTAAATTTAAAAATGGAGTAGCAGCATTTAATAGAAGTACTAGCTTTAGCCAAATATAAACAAGATATCCATGAATGCATTAATAATGGGATCTTAGTTTGGTTTTGAAAATTTGAAAGGAAATTATATGTGCTGTTTTCCCTAGTCTATATTGTAACATTATTCATTTTCAAAGTTTAAATTTAAAAATTTTCCATACATTCTAGGACTCTTTCATTGGGTTTGATTGCTGATAGTTACATTAATCTAATTTTGACAAATGACAATTATAGTCAAACTTGTTTAGCTGGCAATTCAAAGTTTCAGTTTCTTGACTTTCCAATTTTTTTAATAATCTTTCTTTGTATCTTTTTGGTTTTGAACTTGTCATTTTTTTAATGAATGTGAAACTAGGATTGAGTATATGTGGTGGATCAACATGGGTTTATAGTGTGGTGATGAGACTGTTTAATCCTTAATTAGAAATTTTGGGATCGTCGAGTCTTGAGTATGAAGAAAATCTGGTTGGGAGCGCCACCTCTGAATAAGCTCGGTAGTATGTGATGCGGATTTAATCAGGACTCTAATGCGAGCTCCAGACACCAAATGAGAAACTAAAAGAAATTATATATATATATATATATATATTTAAAAAAATATTGAAAGCATCCTAAACTTGGTGAGAATTAAGGGGTGTATTTCACTCATGTTGCAAATTTTGGTGATGTATTTAAATTTAGTTAGTCAAGTGAAGGGGTGTTTTACACTGTCAAAGTGTCAATAGTTCATGGATAAATTAATAACTCGCGCGAAATTTAGAAGTATTTTCTATACTTCTCTATTTTATTATATCATACAAAAGTGATAGCCCCAAACCATATTTTCTCATTAAAAATTGTCAATATGAGTAGAGATGGCAATGGGGCAGTGAGAAGAGGGTGCGGGACGGGTTGAGCTTAATCCATAAAATTTTTAATCCGTCTTGCATAACAATTTTTTTCATTTTTAACCCGTCTCACTTCACCCCGCATAATATTTTTAATATTTTCCTTT